GGTAAGACGTTCGAACAAACGTTTAAACTTTGCTCTCGGCCGTGATATTGAAAGTGGGAAACGAGGAGCGAGGAAGCGAAATTGTTCGCGCGAAATCAGACATACACGCAGGCACAGGCGCAGAGACATACACTGTCTCACGTGTTTTTGTTTTCTTGTGTACTGATGTGATACCATGGATAGAATCCTCATGCCGATGCAAATTAGTATTCGATATTGCACCTAGAGACACACATGTTCGTTTTCGGACCCCTACTCTAAAATGAAGGATTTTGCCCACATAATAATTTTTCGATTTTACTGAAAATAAACATCGTGTATAATTTTTTGAGCCGTATCCGTTTCTTAAATGCAAATCCAAATTCATAAACGCTATTGAATACCCTAACCACGCCGAACCCCAGACGCCCTCCGCCCCCCGCCCGCGGGACCTTCAACCTAGGTTTTACTCCATATACCTTACAATATCCAATTTTATGAAAAATACATATTCCATGTAACTTTTTGCGCTCTTTCTTTTTAAAATATTGTTCACCCCGTGTGGGGTGTGCGCCGTTCCCGGCGGTAGGTGCAATACCGGGCCGACGCTGTACGGCGAGAAGCAAGCTTCTGCGAACCGTACCATTTCCAAAAATATGTTAATCTCGATGTGTTCAATAGAACACGTACCGGAGATTAAGCCGATAAGAACAGATAATTTTATTCAGTACATGCTCGGCCCGAGGGCCGGAAATACACAAGTCACACGCGATTAAAATGCATACAGGATTGACGGTTAAGCGTCAATTTGGGAGAGTTACAATCAAATTTGAGAAGTGAAAAATTAGAGATTCGAATTCACACAGGTTGTGAGATATCAGAATGAGTTGGGGGCACATTAAGAGCATTACAATTCACAGTGATAGAAAATGAGTATCGCTTTGGTACTTTATTGGGGGTCGTCGAGCTTGTATTGGCGTTGGCCCGTCACATGTTCCACGTAGATGTCCCTGCTCCAGCGAATCGAGTCGGCGACCATCAGAAGACGCATCAGCTGGCCATACTTGACGGAGATCTTCAGCCTTCGTTGGATGTCGTTGTTCGCGGCGTCCCATCCTCCGAGTGGTCCGACCATCCATGCGCCCAGGAACGTGTCGTAGCCGTCGGTGGAGTACTTGTCGAGGATGGGCAGGTACTTGCGCTCCTTCTCACGGCGTGCATCTTCGAAGATCGACACATCCCCATTCTCGAACGGCATCGTCACATCGATGATGGTGATGGTCTTGAGGCGGTCGTTGATGATGGTGTAATCGGGCCGTAGTTGTCCATCTGTGCCGGGGATCTTCTGGTTGACGTAGATCTTGTCGTCGTCGAGCGGCTTGTAGGCGTTCATCAGTCGATCCAGCACGGCGTTGTGGCGAAGTTGGATGGCGTGTGAATGGGCGTGGCAGTGGTTGAGGGTGTGAGCTACGCTTTCCAGAGCGTAGCCACACTTCCGGCAGCGCTTGTCGACGTGTCCTCTGGATCGGTTGCAGCCGTTGAGCGCGAGGAGGTCGAGGCGAGCTCGGTGGACGAACCGCCAGTCGGCGAAGCGTAGGAACCGTCCGTCTCGCATGAAGTAGTTGGACGTTGGTTGGCGGCTCATGACGCGACGACGCACTGTGTTGACGGGCGTGACGGTAAGACGTTCGAACAAACGTTTAAACTTTGCTCTCGGCCGTGATATTGAAAGTGGGAAACGAGGAGCGAGGAAGCGAAATTGTTCGCGCGAAATCAGACATACACGCAGGCACAGGCGCAGAGACATACACTGTCTCACGTGTTTTTGTTTTCTTGTGTACTGATGTGATACCATGGATAGAATCCTCATGCCGATGCAAATTAGTATTCGATATTGCACCTAGAGACACACATGTTCGTTTTCGGACCCCTACTCTAAAATGAAGGATTTTGCCCACATAATAATTTTTCGATTTTACTGAAAATAAACATCGTGTATAATTTTTTGAGCCGTATCCGTTTCTTAAATGCAAATCCAAATTCATAAACGCTATTGAATACCCTAACCACGCCGAACCCCAGACGCCCTCCGCCCCCGCCCGCGGGACCTTCAACCTAGGTTTTACTCCATATACCTTACAATATCCAATTTTATGAAAAATACATATTCCATGTAACTTTTTGCGCTCTTTCTTTTTAAAATATTGTTCACCCCGTGTGGGGTGTGCGCCGTTCCCGGCGGTAGGTGCAATACCGGGCCGACGCTGTACGGCGAGAAGCAAGCTTCTGCGAACCGTACCATTTCCAAAAATATGTTAATCTCGATGTGTTCAATAGAACACGTACCGGAGATTAAGCCGATAAGAACAGATACTACACATTGATCTTAGCCAAAGGCCAGAAGCGATACTGTACATCGAAAACTACAGTAAATACCACCTAGAGTACGCCTAGATACATAGCTAGAGGGTTGGGGCCAGCGAGACTCCATAGAACCCCCAACCGGGTCAGCCTAGCCGCCTCGGGTCTCCAATGGGAGCAGGGGTCTCTTGCCGTTTTTATGCCACTACCCTCTAAAAGGTCGTGCTCTATCGTATCTAGCGCCAACTCAAACCTTCAACCACATTCGATAGGTATTCGGGGTTATGCACACCCCTAGAGGGACCCCCAGTGGATATGGCAGCATTAATAGCCCATATAATTCCCGGCAAGGGTTCTGTGTTCTGGGACTGAGAGAGTGAAACATCTGCCAGTTTTAAAATCAAAATGTAAAACGGTAAAAAATTTCATACAAAATAGTGGTTTTAATCGAAAAACGGAAATCGAGGTTTTGGGACCGAAAAACGGCATATACGGTGTCAATTAACTGTTTTTCGCAAAGTCCTATTTGCCGTTTTATAGTGCATAATTTTTTTGATATTGATAATTTCAGTTCTATTATTCATGTGAAAAAGCGTAAAGGCAAAAAGCAAAAAACGCGTTCCGGGAGAGGTCGAACTCGGGCCCCCGCCTGGTAACACCTGGAAAAACAGTTTATTATTACTTAATCACATTTCTTTTGTTTTTAGTTTTTTAGCGATTTGCGTTCATTATGTCCGGCAGAATTGATAGCAAAAAGCCCTGCTCTTGGCTGGGATCTAACCCGGGTGGCTGGACTAAAAACACCTTGAAAATGTTGTTACTGCTTCCCGGATTCCCTTAATTTACATACCTAGGCAGCAATACGTATTTCCCTGTTTCTCGCCTTGACCTACTTTATGTCGGACCAACCAAATATGCTCTCCTAGAGTTGGCGCTATTTCTATGCATCGATTGGCGCCAAAACACACAAGTGGCCCAGGGAGATAGGGACTACTGGGGGGCGGGGTTGCCAGCCATCTGATATGCATCCAACAGATTGTATAAAGGGAATCTAAAAAAGTCAGAAAGCTTATGAAGGCGGGGGAGAGAGATGGGAAGAGAGAGAGAGAGAGAGAGAGAGAGAGAAAAGAGAGAGAAAGGGTGAAAGAGCGAGCGAGAGAGAGAGAGAGAGAGTGCGAAGGATAGATAGAAGATCGATCAAAGTCTAAAAAAATTTTAATAAATCAATAAGTATGAAAAACATAAAATCAACACTATACAGGTTTTGCTCATCGGTACCCGGTTGGATTTCTGCAAAGGTACACCTACTTGGCCCTGTCGTGGTTCTGCTGAATCGTCGACTAACCAATCACTATCACAATGGTTCAATTCATAAAATGGTTCAAAACTTTACTTCATTCAAATCCTGGTCGGTTCTAAGACCATGCCTTTTCAAAGCTGTCTGCTATTAAAATTTTATGCCCGTTGGCGTGAGGTTAGAGAGGTAGCAATAACTGAATGGAGAAACGAAATCCGATATAAGGTATCAAAAACTAAAATGAACCCTCAAATTCTTGGTTGTTACACATAGCGACAGTTTGACTTTGGTAATAACTTCCGTGAAGACTACGGTAGCTAAGAAATCGGTCATGCGCGAGCCAACACCTCAAACCCGATGTAGAACCTAATATCCGACGTCATAAACAGACATGATGACAATTTCGAGCAGGGTATCTTCTCTCCCACAAGTAAGCTTGAGCTTTGATCACCAGTACGGTATCCAGACCTGATATCTTTTCTCTGTTGCGATCAGCATCGAAACATTTCAGTGACCAAGCGTTCATCACTGCCACACCGGATGACAGACCATCCCCCAACGGCCCTTTTACTCTGTGGTTTAGTCGTCGAAAAAAGCGGAGGAAATCGTCAGTGGACCCAGGGTCTTTTTCTGGGGAACCCCTTCTGTCTGGACATGTTATCTTTGACAAAAGTGACAACATATAAGGGAAGGCCTAGGGTTACGGGCATATACACCAAAAACACAAAAAGCGATGGCTCCGCAAATCGGGGACTTGACTGGCCGGGATATGGTAGGCTACGGAATTCATGTTAAGCTTTTCGATTTCAGGCAGTAAGATCTCCGGAGGATTTTGATCATATTCGATTCAGAGTTGGAAATGCTAAGCTGGTATGCTACCTTAAAATCAGGGATTTCTAAAGGTGATAAATAGGATTCTAAATAAGCCTATCACTGATTTTCAGGCGGCGTTTTGGTTCTGCGCCAGCTTTGGCTTCCAGCCATTCGCATACAAGGGCCTGCCAAATATAAAACTGCCACGGGAATCTGTTAAAATCTCGAAAATCTGAATCTCGAATTTTCAGAATCTCGAATTTTCAAAATCTCGAATTTTCAGATTCTCGAATTTTCAGATTCTCGAATTTTCAGAATCTCGAATTTTTAGAATCTCGAAATTGCCATGGTTTAAATCAGCATTAAGGGTTCCAGAAATTGTACGCCTACGCGGTAAATCCAGCATAGGCATATTCGAGATTCTAAAAATTCGAGATTCTGAAAATTCGAAATTTTGAAAATTCGAGATTCTGAAAATTCGAGATTATGAAGATTCTGGATTTTGAAAATTCGGTATTTTGCAAATTCGAGATTCTGATTTTTGAGATTCTGATTTTCGAGATTCTGTCAGCAATTCCTGATCGAGTGGTGGCTTCTACTTCCGGGTTTCGTCAAAGAACAATCAACTGCTGAAGACAAGAATTGTCCTATCGTTTTGTACATGAACCCTCTTTTTGTGTCTGAACCAGGTTCTTGCCGCTTCAGAATTTGGTTTTCTACTCGTTCTCATTATTTTCCACCTGTTCTCACATCAAAAACGGAACTCACCCCGCATGCCGTCGACAGGTAACAATCAGCAAGCACTTGGGTCCTTACATTTCGTCAATTTCAGGGAACGGGCAAGGCGTCGCATGAGGTTTTGAAGTGTGTCGCCGACCATATTCTAAAATCCTTTTATTTTCCTGATGCTCCATAAGAGTGCTGTTTTCCGCCAGAGAGTATTGTGACGTACCATATTTCCATCCAACGGAGCGACTATTTGATAGAATTTCACTCCATCTTGACTGAAAATCCGCTTCTCAGCTGGTTGTTGGAAATTCAAAAACACGATAGAAATTTGCATAATAAGGAGACAATTGTCGGAGCGTTTAGTTTGCAAAACCGTGATGGTTGTTGGAAAAAGTCTACTTTAAATCTAAATTAAAGCTCAAAAAAGCTTAAAAACTTAGCAAACTTATCAAATGATCATCGGCTGCCACTTGTAGATCAATATTTTTCGGTAGACGGCCATTTATCGTGTTTTTACGGGGAAATGAGAAAGCTGGAATCTGGAAGATATCTTTCAAACCTGTTCGATTTCCATGAAATTCCACTTATACCGGTCAAGCCGACAGAGTCTCCGACAATTCCAGACGATAGTTGTAGATCTAAAGTTTTGGATCAGACTTACACTTCTATGCTGGCCTGCCATTTCCGGTGAATTGTGCTTCGATGCCGATTCCAATTTTTCGCACGTCACAAAACAAAACTGTCTGTTATCTTCTGCCTTCAAAGGAAAAGCTTATAATGAGCCGATAAATCGGCATTACCCTTCTCTTTCCCTCCCAATGCCCATGCTCAATAAATATTTGCCGAAATCGATTTGGCGCTTGATTTTTGTGGGTCTAAGCTTGTTATATTCAGCCGGAAAGTTCTATGAAGTGTATTTTGGAACCAATAGCTTCATTGGCCTGTATAAAAGGTATGGAAAAAACGGTTTTCAGACTAACAATGTGATGGCATTTAGTCCGACAAACAAGGAACGAAAGGTTTGGTGTCACAGCGCTGCTTGTCGGAGCAGTTTTGATGATTGTCGCGGAGATTGTTTTATTTATGATGACAATATTTCTTACAATGCTATCATTGCGCAATCGGAATCGATTATCTTCGCTGGCATATCCCTTATACGTCGTAGGTTTTAAGAGATAAAACTAAAGTATGAG